ACCTAATAATAAGAAGTTAATTATTTAAATAAATTATAATTATTACTTATTTTTAATTATTATGAATAATTAATATACTAGTTACATAATGACATAATTATTAATTATTAGTTAATTTATTAATTAAAATTTATGTAATTTGCTTATTTTACATATATATCAATTAACTATTATATATATATATATATATATATATATAAACTATTAGATGCTCATTTCCTAAAAATTAATTAGCTAATTAGTTAACTATTTTTTATTAAAATAATCATAATAATATATTTACTAGTTATATACTTATTAAAACAATTATGTAATTAATACAATTAATAACATTGTAACTGTTTATCATACATACATACATACATACATACATACATACATACATACATACATACATACATACATACATACATACATACATACATACATACATACATACATACANACATACATACATACATACATACATACATACATACATACATACATACATACATACATACATACATACATACATACATACATACATACATACATAGATAGATAGATAGATAGATATTGATAAATGTTCAAATCTTTAAAATATCTAAATATTTATGTTTTTTTATGAATTCCATTATTTATAAATTATTTTATATTCATTTAATTAATTTTTAATTAGTTTATTAAATAGTAAAATTAACATTCTCATATCCAGGATTAAAATGGTCCATTATCATTTTTCAAAACTCAGCATCCAAATTTCAGAACAACATTCTCTACATTTAGACTTAAAAACCAAGAAAAAATTACCAACTCCAATACACTTCTAAAAGTGATTAATATAGTTTTAGAGGCATTTAGATATCAAACTATAGTCATAAGTACAAAAGAACAAGTTCTTTGTTCTTAAACTGTTTACTTAGCCAAAAATAAAATAAGGTTTTAAAAACCAACATGGAACCAGAACCATTCTGGCCACTGATTTTCAAGTCGACGATTCGACCATCCGGTTCGAACGGATGGCCCATTCCAACTTAAAAAAATAAAAAGATTAAAAATTAAGTAAAATAAAAAATGTCAAAACTGTTGAATGGGTTGAATAGGTCAACGGCTTAACCGTCTGGGTCAGCGGATCGCTAACCAATTCAACGATTTTTTGCTAGAGAACGGGATTAGAGTAAAACAGAACCAGTTGCCTAGATGGTTCCCAAGCCGAATGGTCAAACTACAAATTGTTTATCCCAATCAGTAGAAAATAGCTCACGGGTTAGACATAAATCTCTTTTTTATATTTCTTCTATTTTTAGGCATTTTCTATTATTGAAAATAATAATTCTTATTTTGCTACATTTATTTTTTGTAATATGATGAATAATAATATTAGAGAGATGCTCACTTTATTTTTCAATTTTTTTTTTTTTGCATTTTTTTTATCTTTTATATGTTTTACTATATTATTTAAGATACCATGTATGATCCATTTGAATATGAGATGGTTGGTGGTTCCCTTTCTGGTCGTCCTTTTATGAAATTTTGATGATAAAAGAAGACACCCACTAAACACAATGAAAAATCCGAATAGTATCCTTACTCTATAATGCAGATACATCTAAAGGAGCCAATAGAATGAAATTTGTATCTATTGACCACAACACATTGCTAACCACGTTCATGGAGCCACTCATCAGGAAATCAGTCGTACTTTATAGCGCTGATATTCCTGATGTGCAGCTTGGTGAATGTGGTCAGCAATGTATTGTGATCAGCTGATCCAGACTCCTAAAATGGCACCCCAAAACTCAGACTGTCAGACATGTATGACATCACCTCCTGGAGATCCAAATGAGTCACTGGAAGAGAATATTTTAATTCAAACACGGATACTCAGGAATATTAAATTTTATTAATAAATTAAACTAAAATGATTGGAATGTTTAATATCATTGATAAAATGAACTATGACTTTGATCTTGTACATTATTAATTAAATAAATTGTAAACAACATTTAAAGATATTTGAAAAGAGGTAAGATATTCTATTAATATATGTATAAAATAAAGAATCTCTGAAATGGACCCATGTCCCCTAAAAAAATAAAAGGATGGCCTGATATAAAACAAAACAAAGGAAGCCCATGAGATCAAAAGAATCCACAGAGAATCAGATCGTGGTTTTAAAAACTGACCCAAAAACGAAATTGTTTTTACCACCAGTTCCCAGTCAAATGATTATCGGGTCCAGAACTAGACCCACAACCATGACCAATTCCTGAATCGAATGGCCCAACCCTCCGGTCTGGTCTGGTTTTCATGAACCAGCCATCAAAACCCACCATACAAAATGGGTACTTTCCTTGATTCCTATCCAGACCATAAAATTTGTGTTCCAGAAAAAAAAAAAAAATGTAGCGCTGTTAAGCTGAGAATACCAGCCCAATGGTCTATACTACCAAGTCACCTGATATTTATAACCAATCTACCAAAATTCCATCTCTATGTGAAGTTTTGTTTTTAGTTTTATATAATAGGATAACTCGGACCGATTGAACGCAATGGCTGTGTGTAGAAGGCTTTGGAGTCAATAATAATGCCTCAGGCCAGTTATAAAACACATAGAACTGATCACAATGAATCACATCATATTTGTAATCAATCTGCCAATATCCCATGTGAGTGTGAAGCTTTGTCTTTGTTTTTGTTTAGGGTAATTCAGATTAACTGAACACAATGGCTGTATAAAATTGTGGAACCAATGATAATACTCTGCGTCAGTCATAGAAGCCCCATATATTCTGACTGGTATGGGCATATTATCATTTGAAAATAAAAAAAAATGCTAATTTATTTTTTTTAATAAAATAAAATAAGAAAAATATAAAAAATAAAGAAAATAAATAAATAATTTGTTTAAAAAAGAGATATATTGACATGAATCATCAAAATAGATAACTAACTTCTCTCAAGAAGAATTATCTAACACAATGTCTTATCCACCATAAAATATATCGGTGGCCTATTTCAGCGGCATGTGGACAAAATTAATGAAGATGCTCAACAGCGCATGGTGTATATCAGCAGTTATATATGTTGCGACAAAAGAATTTGAATGCGCTGCCCACCGAGTGCTTGTCATGGAGAGATGTTTCCAAATCACGGGATCACTTTGTCCGTTTCAAAAAAAATAGCCCTTGGGCGATTTCGGCTTCCGTCAGTGCAACTCCATTTAGAATAGTCTTCACAGCTTTGCATTTGGAATATTCTTATAATTGTGTATTTTATTTCATGGGAAGATATTCTCAATATAAGGTTGTAAGAGATTGTTCAAATGGTATAAGTACATGCTTACACTGACGGAAGTTGAACTCAGACTGGACTGTTTTGGGAGCCTCTACATATGATACCTTACCCACATTCATTATGAGATGCCATTCAGGCTCTAAAAACAGCTCAAGCTATCATTGAGGGGATGGGCTGTGGGATACATTTGGGCACGCTTTGTGTGGACATTTCAGATGGGCTTCCCATGGGAGATCGGCTTCCATCAGGGCAAACCTTGGCCTACATCCTTTTGCAACCTTGCATTGAGAATATCTCTCTATGAAATAAAGCACACAAATGGGGAGATATTCTCAATGCAAGGCAGTAAAAGCTGTTCGAATGGGCTTTGCCCTGACTAAAGTCGAACTCTTCTCACGGGTCACTTGGAGGTGTTGAGGTGTGGGGCATGCTCTATGGGGAGCCTATCCCAAATCTAAGATCTGGAAATCAGCTTTAGTGCTCATAAGATCGTATTCATACCATTCGCACAATTCTTAGCAGCCTTGTTGTATTGAGATTAGGCATGTAAATGGATCGGGTTGGATTTGAATAAGGGTTTATTTGAATCTGATCCGATATTGTCCGATTCGATCCAAAGATTCAATAAGATCTTATAGGACTCGATTTGAATTCGAATCCTATCAGTAAGTTGAATCTTTGGATTTGATCCGATTCAACTTATTTTCTTTAAAAATTAATAAACTATATTAATTTAAATAAAATAAGAAACAAAATATACAAGTATTTTTAATTATTTTTATCATATATATACATGTTTTTTATAAAAAAAATAATATAACAAATTTACAAAAATATAATATAAAAAATATATTTATAAATAAATAAATAACAGATATATATGTATTATATATATATTTATTTATTTATTTATTTATTTATATATATATATTTATTTATATATATATATATTTATAAATATATAATATATTGAATCAGATCTTCTCGGATCGGATAGGGGTGATCTGAATCCAATGCGATTTCTGATCGATCCTATTATCTTATCCAATCCGGAGATCTGAACAGGGGTGATCCAAATTCGACCAAATATGATCGGGTCTAATCCATTTGCACCCCTAAAAAATGAAACTAGATTCAATTAGTGCAAAGCCTGTTCAAACACCCATTATAGCCTTGCATTGGGAATATCTCCCAATAAAATAAAGCATAGAAGTACGGAAATGTTCCTGATGCAAGGCTTTAAAGGTTATTCGAACGCCATTCAAACAGGCCTTGCACCGACTGAAGTCGATCTCCTAAAAATTATATAAATACGGAGATATTCTCAAGACACGGTTGTGAAAAGACTTTACGAATGGTGTGAACACAGTCCTTGTGAGCACGGAAGCCCATTTCCAATTTCTGTCAAAAAATGTCGTCACGTACTCATGAAGAGAGCATTAGTGACCATGGTTTTCGAACTGTCGTTGACCCAAATGATCGGACCATACGGCCCAGGAACCATCCATGCAACTGATTCCATTTTACCCAAAGTCGGTCCTTGGCCAAAAACCGTTGAATCGGTCAAGGACCCATTGAATCGGGCAACGGTTTTTGGCCGTCTTTTATTGTATTTTTTTTTTTTTATTGTCAAAAAGGACAATCACGGTCGAACCATCGATCCGAAAATAGGTGGCACGTTTTTTTAAAACGTGACACAGTTATCAACATACAGCCAACCATTGTTCGACACATGTACCATCAGATTTAAACAAGAAACTCGATCACAGCATAGTGAATACGCATTAATCACTGAGACGAGGACAAGTGGCTATTGATTTTTATCCTTTAGTATGTGGCCAGCGTTTACTTATTTCAAACGCAACAATTTGGTAATGCCGTCACGAATACGAACCAATGAGAGAATCGAAATCAAATCACCTTCTCCTGCATGCAGGTTTCATCCAGGAGTCTGTCTAACGTGCGCCAAGAGGACCCACCTTTTTCCATGGCCATTCTAGCCAATTTCTCCAACTCCTTCACCTTCTCCCTCGCCTTCTTTCCCTCTTCTCCCTCCATCAATTCTTTAACCATCTTTTCTATCATCTCTGACTCCACAAAACCTCGAACTGAGCCGTTGTTTGCAACAACTCTCAGACCCATGCCCATCTCCTCCACCACAAACCTTGCATTCAAGTGTTGCTCTGCCATCATCGGCCATGCTAAGATGGGCACCGATGCACACAAACTCTCCAACACCGAGTTCCAACCACAGTGGCTCATGAACCCATTTACGCTTTGGTGATCCAGTATCTCTCTCTGATTAACCCACTCCTTTACGATTAGTCCTCTCTCTTTAACCCTCTCCTCGTAGTCGTATCCATCTTCTAGGAATTTCACTTCCTTCGATTTCACCACCCACAAGAAACTTACCTCAGACCGCTCTAACCCAATCGTGATCTCTCTCAACTGCTCCGTTGAGATACCGACCTGGGATCCAAACGCAACGTACAAGACAGATCGGCCCTCTGCTGACTTCTGGTCCAGCCATTGCATCCATGTGGGCTTCTGGTTCTGGAGGGACTGGACCGTCGGAGGTTCGGCCAAGCAAAGAGGTCCAACACACCAAACCTTGGGCTCGAACTCCCGGTTCCAATATTCTAAATAACCGGGCTCCAGCTCGTAGAAGCTGTTGACCACCGTACCCTGGCTTTTCGACATCGCTACGATCTGCTCTACAACAAATTCAAAATGGGGATCACCGGGTTTAGGGTCTCTGAAGGGATACTCGAAATCGTTTCTAGTGAGTTTGAGCCAAGGGAAGGCAGGAACAGTGAAGGGGTCGTCATCTGAACCGACGTTTGCAAGAAGCCCATCCCGAACCACGACACGGGAGACGGTCGAGGAGAAGTTGTTCATACCGAAAAATACGAGCCTGGGTATACCAAACCTTGACGCAGATTGCAGAGTCCAGCCGAGGAAGCCGTCGGAGATTATGCAGCTGACTCTTGGCAGACTTTGGAGCACTTGTTCAAATTGAGGTTGCATTAATTTGGTGGCATTAGCAAAGGGAACGAAGAGAGACATAGACGAAAGTCGGTCGGTGCTCTCGACTCCAGGTGGGACTTGGGGAACATCTTGAGGGAAGCTGAGGTCCACAACGTGAAATAACGAGGAGTCTGTGTCGGCAAGGGATTGACGGATAAAGGGAGAATTTGCTGTGGTGGTGAAGATGGTAAGGGAGATACGGCGGAGGAGAAGGAGGCGAGCAAGGTGGAGGATTGGGATGGTGTGGCCTTTGGACATGAAAGGAAAGAGAACGATATGAGGAGATGACTGATCAGAAGCCATCTTCTACTTCTTCTTCTCTTCGGAGTTCTGACTCGTCGCCCTACTGTTCCCTCGCTTCTGGGTGTCCGAAGTTTTCGCTTGGTGCTCATTCAAATATATAGCCAATATTAATTTAACATAACAGTTGCAGGCTAACCGGGGACTCCGTTGAAAAATGGAAAATTTTTTAGTCATCCGCTAGTTTACTACACAAACTACTCACTTTTCGTACGGAACCACACATCTCTAAATTCGTAATAAAGATGTTTGGCAGGATTTAGATAAGTGGGTAAGAAATCCGAGTGGTGGGCCGTGGTCCATACATTCTAGAAGGTGTTGTATATAATTAGGGCCGTCAACGAGACGGGTATGGGCCGATTATAGTGAATATATATATATATATATATAAAATTCAATTCCTGATAGGTTCAGTAATTTTTAGATGTAAAATCGAATTGATCGGCTTTTGGGAAAATCGGGTCTGATTCGATGGACCCGATTATAGTGAATACATACATATATATATATAATATATACAATACATTATATATTTTATAATTTATTTGTATATTATATATATAATTTATTTAATATTATATGTGTTATATGTAGATAACTCAGTTCGGGACAGAATGAAACCGGTTTCAAACTGATAATAATTGACGCTATGTCAAGACCTAGAACCAACTCATTGTTCCAATTCCTAGAACTAAAACTGGCTCAATCGGTTTGGATCCATCGGGTTAGACCTGACCTGTTGACAGCCCTATATATAATTTGTAGATCAGTAATGAACTAGAGTACTTGAAATGACATTATAAATTTTTGTATCTAAAAAACCACTTTGTATATTAAAGGTGTTTGTACCTTCTTTTTTTGGATTTTGAGACGGGGGAAAGTTGGTCAATGGAATTTTGGTTCCTATTGACCAAGAATCTTATGTTCATTTTTTAGATTAATGTGGGGACCAAGGAAAGTTTGTTTTCCCGGGCATACTCATCTCCTACTTGGGTAATTAACTCTCACCTAGGAAAAAAGTTGTTAACACTTGAATGGGACAAAAATGCCCCTTTTAATAATGGATTTTTATGACTAAAATGGTTATTATCTTATTTACCCAAGAAATAAAAGAACATGAGTAAATGCACTTATCCGAGTAAGTGTTTTTTAGGAAAAACTTACCCAAGTAATTACATTTACCCGCGTAAGTAACTTACTAAAAAGTGAGCGGAGCCTTAGTTTCCAATTACATCTTTCTCATATTCTCTTAAAACCTCTCGATTTCTCTTAGGTTCTGTTTGGTTTGCAGTCAGAATTAAAATTCCTTAGAATTGGAATCGAAATGGTCTACCATAGCCTGTTTGGTTCAGACGAAAATCAGTATCAAATCAAAATTAAAATCAGTCGGAATGGGATTTCATTTGCAAGGGAGGGCAGATGCTTATGAACATCTTGTTGGTCCTATCTTTGATGGTGAACCCAAGTAATTGGGTCCTATCTTTGATAAGGTGTTGGACTATGTTGTTGGTCCTAATTAAGTGATTTTATTATTAAACACTTCCCCACCACCCACCCACAACTTAAGGTTTGATTTCTTTTCTTGGACAACATCATTCATAAACATTTCCCTTGTCTTTCCTTTAATTTAGTTTTTGATAGACATGGATAACAAGTCTGGATTTGGTCCCAACAGCCATTGTAGTTGTATATTGGGCACTTTTGCCATGAAGGACAAGGGAGATATTCCCAGTATACGGCTGCAATGGTTGTTGGGACCCTGCATTGGGGTCACATCATCCAACCCACAACCCAGTTTGTTTATTTCTTCTACTCGAGAAGTTAAGGTAAGTTGGTAGATGCGGTTGTTGAGTTTTCTTCAAATCTAACTTCACTTGCTCTGCACGCACTCTTGATAGGATTCTTACACTMCCACCCATTTTCCTTATATCTTCCAATGTTTTCAATTTTCGTCATTTTTGGTTTGAGAAAGAAATCAGATTTTTCATTTATACGGGTCCAAATGGAGTTCTTTTTTCACTTTTAGTTGAGATACGTAGATTGAAGCAAAGGCGTGAGGAGCTTATGATCAGTTTACAAGAGGCTGAGAGAAGAATGGACCTAGCTAGAGTTGTAGACCTGAGAATGGAGGAAGAAAGTAGCGGCCAATGCTTTCTCATTGTTAGCGTTTTGGGTTGAAGAATGACGGGGTAATTTTGGTATATTGCAAAATGGACCGAATATAATCAAGGGTAAAATAGTAAATTAATGATGTGTGTTAGTCAAGTTACCATTATCTGCTTTGGACATTTTGAAAAGTTGTGAATTTAAGAGAATTCATAAAAAAGTGATGGTGGATTTTGGACAATTACCCTTTATTTTAAAAGTGAGAATGTAGTGTGAAACTTTTTGTGGACTAAAATTACCCTCTATTTATTTGTTTGATAAAGGGTAGAAAATCATTTTATTACAACTTTAATGCCAATTTATGGCTACTAAAATGCCCATATTTGTTTATTTATAACATCTCTAATTGTAAGGGTTAAAAATGTAACTTCAATTATTACTTTTCACCCCATTTAATCCCCTTTCATTGAGTCTTATACTTAAAGGTATTAACTCTCATTTTCTCTTATTAAATCATATATTTTAAGTTATTTTTTACCAATAAATGATACTAATTAGATCTATGTCAATATTTTTTACAATATAAACCCATATATTTTAAAACTGGCTAAAAAACAAAAGCATTCTTTATCTAAGTGATGGCTAAGTAATTCAACCATTCAAATCAAATTGAAAAACCTATGAAGTCATAGTTAAGTAATAAAATTTTTAAAATAGAAATAAATATAGAAAATTACAAAAATGCAAAAAAATTAGACACATTTACGATACTTTTATTAATCAAACTAAAGAAATAAGTGTCATAAAAAGAAATATTTTTATTGATAATGAAAATGAAATATAAACTTTAGAACTAACTAAAAATGAAATTATTTTACTATTTGACAAAGATCAATAGTTCAACTTTTAGGTCAAATGTATTAACATTTAATGTCATAAATAAATAATAAAAATTAATAAAATATAAAAATACATAAGTTACAAAAAACATTCAGGCACATATATTAATTAATTATCATATAAAAGTAAGTGTGACATACCAAAATTATTTTTACACAAAAATATAAAAAAGTAAAGAAAAAATTGAACACATCTATAATTCTATATTTACACTACTATTAAAGATATAAATAAGATTGTAGACCTTTCTTTTAACTAAAATACTTATTTTTGAATTTAATCTCTATTTAATTTTGATGTTTAAATTGTAAATTGAACTACTACTTTTCACCTCATTTAATTCTCTATTTTTAAATCTTACATTTTTTTATAAATGAATAGAAAAAACACCAAAAAGATAAAATATTGTAAAAAGAAGAATCTAACCAAGCAGGTAAACCTGCAATGATACTTGAAACTTCATAACTCGATCTAATTATCACGTGTTTAGATGAAGTGTTTATATAATCAAATTTGGATTTTGCAATATGCATCCGATTAATAATAAAAAGCAAAAAACATATAAAATCAAAAAAAAATAAAAATACGTATTTATAGCAATTTTTTTATGGTAGTGATTCCCTTTGTGGTCATCTTTTTATAAAACATTGATGATGAAAGAAGACATCCACTAATCTACATGAAAATAAACATAAAGGCTCAGTTTGGAAAGAGTACAAATACAAATATGTACAATACATATATATACAAAATAATGTAAAAAAAGATTTTGCACTCTATAAATTTGTATTTGTACTCTTTCCAAACTAAGCCAAAGGCTCTGTTTTGAAGCGATGCAAATGGAGTATAAATCGCAGTTCAGGGTAAATTTACACTCTAGTTCATTTTTACTTGTATTTGACAATATTACATTTATGCATTGACAAATGCCAGACCAATGCATATTTACATTGATAATAAGATGTAAAAGCACATCAATAAAAAAGAAGTAAATTTGCATTAATGTGGGTTTTTGACAAAAAAAAAAAAAAAACATATGCTTTATTGGAATTCATGTTTGCATCCATTACAGCTAAAAGTCTATTTAGTAAAAAAATAAATTTGTCAATTCAAAACTAACCCAATTTTGGAACTTATATGAACCGTTTTACACTCTATATATTTACATTGTTTGAGGAACAACTAAAATGACACGCACCCCTAAACTCAATAAATTCGGTCATGTATGACATCACCTGTTCATTTTGATAGAATGAGTGGTGCATATATAAGCGCATACTGTCTAAACTCATCTCCAACACTCATCCAAACACATGGAGAGGATCCAAATGTTTTTAGTTCAACACAGATACCCTAGGACCATAAAGAGTTTTTGTTGTTTTCCGAATTCTTAAAAGTGATTTAGCTATCAGACATTTGGGGAGGGAAACGTGACATTGACATTGATATGCAATGCAGCAATGGGTGGTAAATAAGATCCATGGCGGAGGGGGAACCATACCAAATACCTACATAGGAATCCGGATCTACTCCTCACACCCAAATCACAGCATGTCCTGAGTCCTGACCATACATCGTAAACATCTCCTGTATATTTATTATTCATGGGAAAATGTTTCCAAATATATGGCTGTGAGGTCGGTTGGTATAAGGAACAGATTTCAATTCACCACAGAGAGTCTGCATTTCCACAGATTTAATCACGTGCCTCCTATTATGGAGGGATGTTGAGTCATAATGTCAACGATCAGCTCATCAACAACCTATTTAATTTGATGTTTGCACATGATGTAGGTGGTGTGGTAAGACTAAATGTGGAGGTCTAATTGAATTAAGATTCAAAGTATCAATATGATACGAGTTTCGATTGTATCGTATCGGTACTTAGAAATGGTCGAAACTCTATTTTTTTTAGTTTTTTTTTTAATTTTAGTTTTTTAGGAAGTCTTTAACATGCTTTTTATTATTAAAAAAATTGGGGGTCCGAAACACCTGGAAACAGACGTTTCAGATTATATCTTTTTCAAAAGCTACGATACGATATGCCCCGTATCGGGTGTATTGTATCGATACTTTGAATCATGATTGAAGGGCGAAGAAAGGTGATGGTGCACGATCTGGTTGCTCCTACTGGATGTCCTGTTGTAAGTGAATTTGGTTTGATGGTGCTATCGTCCATCACAGGAGTACAATGGCTTCAAATTCATCACAGTTCCATGGCGAGTTATAGACTCGTCACAGGCTTGCGTTGACTTGTGTTTTGCCATTGTGTTTCTGTGTGTAAGTTTGGTACCTTCATTGTAATCGTAGTGATGATAGACAATATGTACTTATACATGGATTATTGATACGACGGAGGAGGAGATGGGATTGCCACTCCCAACCAGTGGGAGTATATTCAAATAGAATCTTATCCTTTGGATGTGAATCTATTTTGAATATTAAATTTTATTAATAAATTAAACTAAAATTGTTGAAATGTTAGTATTATTGATAAAATGAACTATGAGTCTATGACTGATTATCTGATCTTGTATATTATTAATTAAATGAATTGTATATAAAATTATAAAAGTGAAATTAAAATTGTTTTTTTTTTTAATTTGAAAAGAGGTAAAGCATTCTATTAAACAACGTTTTAAAAAATGATTCGGAAACGGAATCGTTCTGGCCACCGGTTTCCGAGTCAACGGTTCAACCGCCTGAGTAAACAGTTAACTTTTTCAACGATTTTTTATCAGATTCTGGATTTTGGGTAAAACGAAATCAGTTGCTTGGACAGTTTCCAAGTCGAACGGTCCGACCATCTGGCTCGACGGCAATTCAAAAACGCTGCTATTAAATAAGGAAAATAAAATATGTATAAAGTAAAGGATACCCGAAATGGGCCTAATCCCACCAAAAAACAAAAGGATGGGCCTTTGAGTGTGAAATTTTGAATTTTTGTTTTTGTTTTTGACTAAGATAATTCAGATTGGCCGCATGCAATGGTTGTATAAAAGGTTGTCGAGCCAATTGTCCACGCCAATCATAAAACAGGGCACACAATAAGTCACGTTATATTTATAATCAATCTGCCAACATTCCATGTGAGTGGATTTTTGTTTTTGTTTAGGATAACTTGGATTAACTGAGCACAATGTGTGTATAGAATGCTGTGGAATCAATGATAAAACCCCACCTCAGTCATAGAAGCCCTATGTATTCTGACTAGCATTATCTTTGGTTTCACAGCCCATTAAGACTGCATTTGACATTACTTATTTTAAGGAATTTTCTCCTTTCTAGTTAAAAACTCAATGTTTATAAGTCCTTGCAATAAATAATACCAAATACAACCTAAACATCCAACGTTAAATTCTGACTCTGGTCAACGAAAATTGCACCCCTAAACCAAAGTCATTAGAATGAATCGATCTAGAGAACAAAGACTCAAACGACCCAAGAAGCCAAAAAGCGGGCTGACCAAGAAAATCGATAGAGAGGGAGTTGTAATTCAATCACCGACTGATTGATGCAGTTAGGGGTGATCATTTCTAGCCCAGCCCGGAAGCCATGTCCTCATGACCTCAGGTCCAAACCCACCTGGAAAACTTCAGGCCCAAAAACCGATCTTGGGCCTGGCCCTCAACATAAGAAAACTCTGGGCGGAAGGGATTCCTCTCTTCCTGTTTCAGGCTTTGGGATAAGGTGCTTCATAAGTCTGGTGGGTAGCACAACCCCAAGTCCCCAATCATCTTAAAAGGTCAATAATGCTTAAAAAGTAAATTGAAAAAGGATGTTGAGAATGAATGGTATTAATTTATCAACAAAACATTTAACACTTCTTTTTATCTAGACCGGACACAAACCCGAATGCACATTGGGTCAAGGTTTTACCACGACCCAAAAATGACATAGAAAAATCAGCTCATCTCTTGGCTTGTTTTGGATTTGTTGCTTTTTTTCTTTAGTGTGTGTGTTTTAGAGAGTGTTCTTCCTGAGTGGCTGTCCATGGCTGTAGAAGATGACAGAAGTGATGGTTGTTTTAGTGTAGGCTTATTAAATATGTGTTTTAGATATTGAAATTAAGTATGTGTTTGGTTTTATGGGTATTTATTAAATAAACGTTTATTTGAAAAACTGTTACTTTAAACATTCATTGTTATTGTTGTTGGGTTAGACATTTCAAGTAACATCCCATTTCGTTTTTATAAAGGAAACAAAAATTTGAGGTTTCACCCAACACTTCATGCATATATTTCTATTTTTTAATGTTGTTTGATAAATATTAAAATCAAACAGTGGTTTTACGCACAATAAACGTTTATGTGATGGCATTAACCCCCATAAAACCAAACATAGCCAAAAAGGCCACACATCGGCACATCTTGTTGTAGGTGTGTGAGATTAATTAGCAGCCTTCCTTTTGAAAATAAATTGCCACAGGGGTATTATTTCTGAGAAAAAGGAAAAAAAATAATAATAATAATAATTAAAGAAAGAAAGACTGCATTAAAGAAAATGTCATACCCATCGAAATTGAATTGATTGAATATGGGACTTTGCTAGCTATATAATGTTAAGAAATATTTGATTGAACAAAGATATTTACAGTCCTGGAGAACATAGCTATTAACTGCATCAGATTCAGTAGTTAGTGGGGATTCTTCCCATTGCACACCAACTATTGTATATATGTTCAATACCCCTTGTAGTGTTGCAATTCAGAGATCAATGTCCGGGCTGCTGCCTTATTTATCTTACTTTTGTTTTGGCCAATAGCCACAGCCCGGATCACCTGCCAACGAAATACACTCCAACACCCTACCAACAGGATTTGACACCACATACATGATGATGGGTGGGCCCCAGTTTCATGGTGAGATATGCGGTGTTTGGTAGGGTGTTGGAAGGTGTATTATCGGCAAAGGAGATCCCAATTACAACTGTTGTAGCCAGCAGGCAGCAGCAGATCTAGATATTTACTTGTTTCAATTCAAGCATAATTGCCAAGTTTACGACGTTCTCTTGCAGACTTCATCAAGAAACCGGTCTAAAGTGCGCCAGGAGGACCCACCTTCATCTATGGCCGATTTAGCTGTTTTCGAAATCTCCATCATCTTCTTCCTCGCCTTCTCTCCGTCTTCCCCCTCCATTAATTCTTTCACCATCTTCTCTACCATCTCTGACTCTATAAAACCTCGAACTGAACCGTTGTTTGCAACAACTCTCAGACCCATGCCCATCTCGTCCACCACCAACCTTGCATTCAAGTATTGGTCCGCCATCAGCGGCCAAGCTAAGATGGGCACCGATGCACAGATACTCTCCAGAACCGAGTTCCAACCACAGTGGCTTATGAACCCATTTACGCTTTGGTGCTCCAGTATCTCCCTCTGATTGACCCACTCGCTCACGACTAGCCCTCTGTCCTTAACCCTCTCCTTGTATCCATCGACCAGGAATTTCACTTCCCTGGATTTGATCACCCATAAGAAACTCACATTAGACCTCTCCAACCCCTCTGCGATCGCCTGAAATTGCTCCTGCGAGATCTCAGCCTGGGTTCCAAATGCAACATACAAGACAGACCGCCCCTCTGCTGACTTGTGGTCGAGCCATTGCATCCATGTCGGCTTCTGGTTCTGGAGGGGCTGGGCCGTCGGAGGTTCGACCAAGCAAAGAGGTCCCACACACCAAGCCTTGGTGTTCTCATGCTCCCGATCCCAGTATTCTATAAATCTTGTCTCCAGCTCGCAGAAGCTGTTGACCACTATACCCTGGCTTTGGGAAGCCGCTATGCCTTCCTCTACAATAAATTCGTAATGGGGACCGCTGGGCTCAGCCATGTCAAAGGGATGAGTGAAATCGTTCTTAGTGAATTTGAGCCAAGGGAAATCAGGAAAGGTAAAGGGCTCGTCGTCTGATTTGACATTTGCGATGAATCGATTATGAATCACGGCATGGAAGATGCTCGCGGCGAAGTTGTTCATCCCATAGAATATCGCCCTGGGTATTCCGAACTTGGACGCAGACTTTTGTGTCCAGGAAAGGAAGCCGTCAGAGATAATGCAGCTGACGCTTGGAAGACTTTGGAGAACTTGTTCAAAGTCTGGCTGCATCAATCTGGTGGCTTTAGCAAAGGGGACGAAGAGACTCATAGACGGAAGTCGATCGGTGCTCTCGACTCCCGGTGGGATTTCGGGAGCATTTTCTGGGAATTTGAGCTCCACGACGTGAACCAACGAGGAGTCTGTGTTGGAGAGATGTTGACGGATAAATGGAGAATTTGCCGGGGTGGTGAAGAAGGTGACGGAGACACGGCGGAGGAAGAGGAGGCGAGCAAGGTGGAGGAGTGGGATCATGTGGCCTTTGGACATGAAAGGAAAGAAAACGATATGAAGAGATGACTGCTGATTATTAGAATCCATCACTTATTTGTTCTTGTTTTTCTGACTCGTCGGTCGTCTACTGTTCCCCAGCTCCTCGCTATACGTTTACGTAGTAGTTTTAATTTATTGGTGAGGTTTGACGTTTGAGTCGGTCGGTGTTCATGCAAATTTACATATAGCCATTACCATTACAATTGCAGACGTCAAGGTTTTATGTTGATTCATGACAAACGAATTTTGGTAGCTTAAGTCGTGAGCTTTGCCGTATAATCCTGAGCTTTTTTGCACAGTAGTAATAAAAACGAATGGCTTGGCGCACTCCGGAATCCGAATATATAGTTGCCGCTCCGGCGGTTGAACGGTTCTTCCTTAATAAATGAAAAGTGAAAACGGATGTATGAAGGGTCTACCTTTTCTTCCTGTTTTCATCACCAGCTTCATTCCGGCTTTGAAGGAAATCTCTTGGTACGTACTCGAAACTTGAAAGTTAGTTAGGTAACCGCTGTTTAGTTCATTTTGCTACGACATTGTCGTGGCCCAGGGCTAAAACAGAAAATCATGACCCTAGTAGTGGCCCCACCAAGAAAAATAAGCCAACAGAAAATCATGACCCTTCATTCTGTAATTTTCATTAGACGTTTTCCATCCTCCTGTTTAAACATACAATGGACATACTCACTTATAATTGTTCAAAAACTGTTCAACTGTTCAAAACTATGTTAAAATATAAATTATTTTGTTTAAAGATACTGCCACGTAATATGTTTATTAAGGGCTTTGATTTAGTTGTTTCAGCGCAGGGTTAAGAGTGTCATAACAAATGTGGGTTGACCCAGGTTTTGGAAAGAAAATAGTACTAAGGGGTGCTCACGGTCGGTTGACTTATTTTTTAACCGGTAATCAAAACCAAATTGAAGCTATTGGTTAACCATCGGTTTTTTATTATTTATAATATATTATAAAAAATATAAATATATAATAAAATACTAAATATATATAATATTATATTTTAAATAATATATTATATATTATAAATATATATATTTATATATACATATTTATTAATTTATAGTGTATAAAAATATAAAATATATATAAATATATGTATACCAATCGGTTTGGTTAATCATCGGTTTTCTATTTATCGAACCGATACCTTTGGTTTTTAATTAAAATACCAAACTGAAACTAATGAGGGGTGATTTGGCCCGACCTACTCATATATAGACACGTGGAAGCGACCTACTGATTGGACCTTGACTCAGCACTTTCTAGAAGTTCACCAATTGTCTCCGAGCTCTTCGGGATCACATCGCACGACTGTAGGTCTTATCCCTATCCCGCTCAGATTGGACGGGCTCAATAAGCCTTATCAGATAGCATGAAATCCTCCTGGTGCGGAATAGACTCCTAACAGCGTAGGCCGAAGATCTCGGAGGCGTTTCGTGAGACCCACGGAAGCTCATCTATTTAAGGACACCAACCTCAACGACATAAGGTATGCGTGATTTACTGCTTACTAGCACTCTTGCATTCGAGATTACTAGCTCGCACATCCAAGTACTGACTTAAGCATCAGAGCGCCCACGCCGAATAAACTACCCCGAGTCCTCTAAGCTTCTTTCTTTTGCAATTCGAACATTCAACTAAGCAATCGACGTCTGAACTACCATCCAACTAGGAGCAACCAGATCGCACTCCATCATAAACCAAACTGATAGATTAGATTAATCAAAATTTTGATTTGATTTCAATCGATTCGATTTTTCTTGCTCACCCCTAGAAATCAGAAAAACAAGAAAAGACTAAACTAACTACTCGAGCTATTTTGGTGTCTGAACATGGATAATTGTAGAACCAAAATGGACGAGTTTTAGTTTAAGAGTCATAGAGATTTAATGGGAACCACAGGATAGGAACAAATAGCCCGGATCCGATCCAAATAGATTGAATTTGTCATGTTTATTGGATTAGATTTGTTTTTGGTGTTTATTGGATTAGATTGGAGTCATTGGACCATAGCAAATATAAACCTTTGTATTACGGTTTTTTATTTGGAGAAACATAAAGAATTTTGTTTCAGCCGGGAATATCTCGCATGAATAAAAATTTAAAAGGGATAAGTGGACTGTAATTCCCCTCAGAAATCTGAAATTACAGCCAGTCTATTAGTAGTTCCCTATAAATCGCATCCTGACTGAGGATTTAGCATCAATCCATGGTCAGGATTCAATCTACTCTTAGAAATTTTAGCTCCACCCTAGGGGTGGATTGAACGGTTAAAACCCTAATTTAAAATTAGAAACGTTTCAGATGCACCACTGAAAGAGAACAGATCTGCTCCTCACAGAGGGCGCCTCACACTCACATCCTACCATGCATTGGGAATATCTCCCATACTTTTAAATTATTATTCACGGGAGATATTTCCAATGCACGGTGGATGTGCATGTGAGTCGCCCAAGTGTGAGGAGCAGATCCTGTCTCCCACTGAAACGTGCCGTGAGATCGGTGTAAGACATGCTCTGTGAGGAGTAGATCCTAACTCCCAAAAGCGGCTTCTGATGTTCTAAGTTGGGCCCCACACAAGAACAGCAGAAGCTATGTTTGGTAAAAATCCAGAAAGTTGATTATCGTGTTAACAAAGGAACACAGCTGAAATAGAAAGCATTACCAGGTAGCTTCTCCGGAACACAGGTGCTCAATCAGTATGGCTGAATCAACACACCTCGACTGCAACGCAGAATCCGTCACAAATGGGTTCTAACTTCCAAGATTTTGCCTTTGCTAAATTGTGAACCCATCACCATCCAGTGTAAGTGTATTTATGGATTGGCTATTGATCGGCCTGAATTGAGCATGAAAATAAGGAATACTTGGCCCATCAGGACTCCCCAAGTAACAAGTTGAGCCAGATATTGAAGCCCAAAGAACTGGTCTACACTACACAATTTGGTAACTGTAATTTTTCTCCCTAGGATATTGATCCATTAAAGCAAGGACCATGGCCCATGGGGGTGTTAATGTCACTCCCAGACTTGAACCAGAAATTGTGTGGAGACAGTCAGCTCAGCCTTCCAATAGACAATCAAATTCTGCTCTAACAATTAGAACATTCGCAGAGCACAATTTATTTGATAGTGATTTATCCATAAATCAATAAGGCATTATATTGCAAGCATGGCCGAAAGGGCATGTTGGTTAAATGAATTTTATTTTATGCAGAATTTGGGGGGCTGCATCCAATTTCTGAAATTGGGGGAGGATTTGATCTTCTACTATAGATGGAAAACTAAGTGAACTATAAAATTTGTCAACATGGTTTTATCTTTGAGTCACCCAATTTCATCAACCATGACAAGTAATTGCAAAGAAATCCAGCAAATTAAAAGGGTCAATTTAAGAGATTGCAAGGAAACCAACCAAAGATTGGCAAATTCTGAAGGAGATTGAATCAAAATGAACTAATAATAGCAGATATATGTTTCCTTACAACATGAAGAACCTTGAAAGCCAAACAGTTTGCAAACCCAAGGATTCAAAAACCACCCAAATAGGGAAATGAATCAAGAGTATCTGATCTCATGTCATGTGTGTCTGTATACTTAACAGAGTAACAGACAACAGGAACATCACTTGGTGTGCATGTATATCTGTTGGTATTCTAAACAGCAAGTTCTGTAGCCAAGGTGTGCAAAGGAGCTGGATTGGAGCTCAATTGAAGCCCGACCTCAACTGGCTGTGTCTCCAACACTTCGCTTCCAACCTCAATAGAATGACTACTTTCTTCACCCATGACCATGCTGACCTTCTGATCAGAGTCGACGCTGGTTCGACAAATAGGGCAAATGGGTGTCTTCAACAACCATGAATCCACACAATTAGCATGGAAGCTGTGCCTGCAAGGAAGTAGTCTACACTTGTCTCCCACCTTGAAGTTCTCCAGGCAAACAGCACAGTCTACTGGACTACTGCCCTTCTCTCTTGCTTTGAAATCAAAGCAAGGAAGCCTCTCCAAATCATCAAGCGACATGCTGTTAGTTCCACCATTGTTGGCCCTCTCAACCATGGTGTCTCCCATCAACCCTCTCCTGAAAGCCCTCCCAACAATACAAACATGAATGAAGACCAAAAAACTAATGCCCACAAATAACAATATTACAGAGAAGACAACTGCCATCACTATAATCTGTGTTGCAATTTCCACAGCCTTGTTAGTCATTAAAAGTCTCCCTGAACGCTGAAACTTCAGCTTGTCATTCCAACCATCACCTACAAAGCACAAATTCTCGCTCTTCCATTCTTTTTAAGCAATATCCAGTTACACTCACTCCCATTCAATTCTCCTTGGAATACCCTGAACCAATTTTGTGATCCAACCTCACTGAAAAACGTTATCATGAAAGCAAAATCCATGACTACACAACCAGTTCTATCTACCTCCTCTGAATCCCATGGAAAAATAACAATCCTCCATCATAGCCCAATTTGTTCCACATACAGAAGCTTAAAACACAAGGGGTCTAGTAGTGATCCATGGTTATGAAGTTAAAAGAAACAGATGTTCACATGTTAACAGAATATTCAAGAAAAAAGATAGAATGGAAGCAGAAAACCCGACTTACATACAGATGTTCCCTTTGATCTGGAGATAGCAGAGTTCAAGAGAAACCGGTGGAGATTTGCAATTACAGGCGGCGTGGTTCTGTTATCCTGTTATTTTAATAATGAGAAATTGCTGCCAAGCATCAGTAGCTCACCAACAACATCGAGATGGAATTATGAATATATTTAATGTCTAGTGGGAGGAGGTTTAATCTTTCTGATGGAGTGGGTGGAGAAGGAACCAAAAAGAACAGGTGGAGAGTGTGTATAGTCATGGAAAGATTGAGAACCGACTCTTTTTCTTTTAAATTATCCTTGTTTTTCTTTTTAAAAGTACCCGATGAGTCTTTTCAGTCCTCCTTGATGTGTCAAGAGAGGTATGGGAGATGAACAGACCAAGAATCCAAGATTGCCTTGGTTCAATAAAACAAAGCAAAATAACTTACAGGGTGTAAGAAATTATAAATAAATCAAGAACTTTTCTCTGGTAATAAGGATGTCAAAACGAAATCATGGGAATGCAGTTTTGTGAGCAACAAAGAACAAACCATCTCAACTACCAAAGAATAATCTATCCAAATTTAAAACAAACTACCAAAGAATAAAAGAAAGAACAACCTATCTCTCTGTCACACTCATGTTGAGCACATCTCTCATCTGGTTCATCCAACGGGCTCCCAGGATTCAGAACATCTATGTCTATTGCAGAAGAGCTCAATTTGTAAACGATAATATATTAGATTTGATCAGTAGCTCATCCCTGAACACTTTGTGCTTTTAATAAAGAACCCACTTATTCGTTGAAGACAAAAATCTCAACTCACAAGGAACGTATATTGTTGCATCTTTTGGCTGTCTGGTAGCTTGGCCTCACTCTTTGTCTCTTTACATGTGTAGTTATATCACTTCTCGATAAATTAATGGATAAACAAGACAAACCGTACTTCACGTAGACGGAACACTTCAAAATTAGAGCGGAGGAGGCGTCGGGCTCAAAGGGAATCTATGAATTCTTCACTGCCTACCCTTCTCTTTATAGATGAAAGAATCCAGCTTTATCTAAAAAAATAGATTCACAGTTTGACACTAAACCTATTTGAAAGCCGTGTGTTGGGTTTTTCATTTGAATTGAGAAATTAAATAGAGGAGGGACAAGAGAGCGAATCTCAAGGAAGAAATGGTTCTTAGAGTGAAAAGGAAAAAAGTAGAAGGAAATCTAGGTATTAAAAAAAATAAGGTGGAATGTTGTGATTGGTTATATGGTAGAAAGAAAAGACAGAGAGAAGGACGAAAATATGAAAATGGTAGAAACATTGAAACATCACAATTCACATGCGTGATCTTAAATGTTAATTAAATTTCTCAATTTTTTTAAAAAACATTAAAAGAATAAAGCCCATGCACACAGCACAGGCATGATTAATTAATTTTAAAGCTTAATACTTTAATAGAGAATGACCCCGTACTAAGTATGGGGCTAGTATTTTTTGATAATTTTTATTTTGTTTAAGCAAAAAATCTCTATTTTTTTTTAAAGATTATTTGTATTATAATATTTAGTTAATTAATTATTGTTATTATTATTAAGTATTTTATTATCATAATAATTATTATAATTAAAATTTTTACTGTAAAAATTTAAAGATTAATCAAAATGTAATATTTACTTAATTATTTAATTAAAGATTTAATATTATTTTTAATCAGTAATGGTGATAATTATTTTCTTATATTCTTATTAATAATCAGTATTTAATTATTGAATATTGTTGTTATAATAGATTTTCTAATTACACTAAATTTTGATAATTTACAGCACAATCAGTTTTTGAACCACAGGCTCTTAATTAAGATTAAAATTCAAATTTGTTTGACTGAAAGTAACCACTTTGATAGTTTTCTAGGAGTGGATGAACCCACTTTAATTAAATTTTAGGATGCCACGTGTTTAAAGGGAGAGAATTGTTGCCTAACGACCTTTCTTTAATATATAGATAATAGAATTGAAGAGGGTCATCTTCAGTTATTTAGGCCCATTCATTCGCCGCAGGGATAAGCTGGTTAACTGGGTAATTGATCATGATCCCTGCATTCGTATGTTGTTATATTGGATTACACAGTAGGTGAATTTTTCAGAAAATACCCTCCTAGAAGGCGGATAAATTGCTTATGCACGCACTGATTACGGTCTCTCCCTCCCACCTCTCCATTAGTAACCTGTTGAGGCCAAGAACACTGTAATAGAAATTATCCGGGCAAGTGAAAACTACATACGCAGGTAAGTGAAAAAATGAACGGTGAGTAGATGCCCAGTGTTAAAAGGTTCTCTTGTTATCACACATACACACTTTTTGTTTGTGCTATGGAGGAGAGATTCTCTGATTCAGGATATTTAGCCTATATCAGATGAAAAGTACGTGAAATTCAGTCAATTTTAACAAAGGCATACAACGGTGGTCTCAAGTCCTAAGCCCTTCAATACACAAAACCCATACAAGCACGTCTGAGTCTGACCAAAGATGGCATTTCTTTAGCCTTTCGATTAGTATTAAATAATTAATAATTATAGTCACCAAATCCTCCTACTTTTTGTTTCGATATGGTGTGAGGGCACCAAATCCTCCTACTTTAGTAGATATTCTAGACTTGAAAGGCCCACTTCAAGCAAAAGACATAAAAGGTCATTTCAGAGTTAAGGCCATGGATCTGGTCATAGATTCGGTCCAATTATGAAATACACGGAGCAACAGCCAACAGGGTGTTTAAATTTTAAAATAATTACTTTTTTTTAGTTTTTTTTTTCCTGTAGCTTGTAAATCTGTAATCTTGGTGCACAACGTAGTGCTAACCAAGTTAATATTAATGGATTGAGATGTTGGCACTAGATAACAGTTAGCGAGCTCATACTCACCACAATGAGATTTAGAGAAGTAGAGAACCTAACGAGATTTATTGAGAACGAGAGAACATGAACTTCTTAGCAGTGTCGATTGAAATGTTAATTCAATCTCACGTAGCAATTATTGATGTCTCGATGGTTAGTTCATGGTGGTTAGGGGTGTCAACGGTATTTGAAAATTTAATTTTAAATTTGATATTTAACAAATCAAATTTGGATAATTCGAATATTTAATCCGTCGAATTTGAATATCCTATTCATACCAAATAGCTAATCGGATTCGAATTCGGATATGACCTAATTCAATTCGATAAATATCCGAATTCGACCGATTATTTAATTCTTATATATAATATATAAAATTTTTAAATGTTTTATGTAATTTATATATATAATAATTAAATTATATAAATAATTTATATGTTTATTAATTACATAAATTAATTAATTAGTCAAATTCGAATCAAATTAAATATTCAAATATTTAATTAGATTCAAATTCAAATATTAATTTTTAATATCAATCGGATATTAAATATTAATTTGAATATCGGATATTAATATCTATCGAATCAAATTAAATATTCGAATCGAATTCGGATGGAAGCTCAACCACATTTCATGATATCCAATAAAAAAAGAAAATAGATAAAAGTTTGGGAGATGTATGAGTTTGGGAGAAATAGATAAAAGGACCACAAAACAAAGCATCCACAAGTCTAAAACAAGGAAACAGCAATGGGCAGGAAGACAACCGTACTGTTTATGTGATTCTGGCTAGAAAAATATTGTTGGAGATGTGTTCTAATCGCTCGTCGTCCAGTTCTTCGCATAGCGAGAACGTTCAGCTCTCTTCTGGGTTGTGCAGCAGCAGTCTTTGTGATCGAGCGAATGAGGAATCCTGTTCTAAGGCTTGAGTTTATCATTTTGCACAAAATGACAAAAGTGCCCCCTTTTCTCACGTTGGAATGTCACACACATGTTCGTTACTGGACATGGACGTTGTGGGAACCGCAAGTTCCCAGGGAACGTATTTTTTGAGAGCGTTGATTTGTTACTCCCAAAAAATACATTCTTTGGGTGATGTTCTTACACGGGAATGGTTCGTTTCTTTTGTTTTTTTTCCCTTTTTGTCAAACATTTTCTGTTCTGAAGGAACACCGGAAACAGCAGAAACGCTCTCACAGAACCGTTACCAAACACCACAAATGTGAGGAACGAAAATAGGTTTTATAAATCAGAGGGAGAAATTTCTAGTTTTCTACTTTCTATAGCCACTGTGGAACTCTGCCTCTACCCAGCAAGGAGCTCAAAACAGGACCTTAGAGCTTAATTTAGCTTTAATTCAGAAGCTTGTTCTGCTGGCTTTAGGAACCCAATACCATAGTAATGATGAAAAGGTGAATCCGGTTGCCATGGCCTAGTTCCTACACCATTGTCAGCAAAAACTCTCCACAAATTCCAGAAATCCATTAATGTTGAATTTGTCATCTTTGGAAATTATATCACGCTTGCTTAGCTGTAAAAAATAAATATATCTGCTCCTTAGACACCATTAGTCACAAAGGAAAATACTAGGTAGAGGGCCCCAAACAAACAGGAAGCAGCATCTCACTTCAGCTTTTTCCTTTCAGACCCTTTGTACCAAGGAGGCTTCTTGCCTATTTCTATCCACCGGCCACCCCCCACCCTCGTCTAATCAGTTCATAATATCACGCATCTGTAAGATGAAACGCCTATTTTTGACAACAACAGAACCAGAGCAAAATTCCATTTGAATGTCTCAGACTGTTGTGTCGTGTCTACCAAGAAGTAATCTTGCTGTAGCAACAATATTGCCCCAGGAAAAAACCACAAGAAAGAATGAATGAAATAAAAAGGTGGAGAGGAGAACAAAAAAGATGTACAAGGTACTCATAATACTGGGGGGAAATATGTATATGATTTCCAGTTCAATACATTCTTCAACCTCACTCTGAGACATACCACCATTTTGCAGAATTTACAGGTAAACAAGACAAGAAATGAATCCCAGAAAGTTAAAAAATGAAACTAAAACCATTAAACCTCACAGCGTTCTCCTATACCTTCTAATATTAAGAGCCCAAAACAAGACCCTCCCTAGCAACATTGGTAACACGGAGAACCGCTTGTGCACTTAAAGGAGAGAGTTTTGACTGACAAAAGTGCTCCCAGGAACCAGTTTCTGAATTCTTAGATTCTGCATTATGTGAGGAGATGTGGGATTTCTCATATACAGATTGCAATTCCAAAAGAAGAGTGCGAGCAGCCTCCCTGGATTCAGGAAGCTGGTCACTGAGTTGGGAAGCAGCTATCTGCATCAATTTATCAATCCCATAAGCATTGATTCCCTCCATTCCCTGCAAAATTGTGTGCAAAGAGAAGGACAGCACTTAATTGAAAATAAATGAGCATTAGAGTAGACACTTAATTGAAAATAAATGAGCACTAGAATAGGTCTAGAGACAATTCAACAAAAGAATCAATATCCCACCAAATTTTGTTAAGCAACTAAGAGGCTTTTCTTTCTCTTTTTTCCCCCTTTTTTCATTTCTCCAGAGGTGTTACTTTTGGAGAAGCAACAGGAGTTTAAATGGTATTATATAGAAACTTACAAAATTGGGTGAAATTAGAAATCATGGCTGTCCAGAATGATTTGAATAAGGAACGAACCTTTTGGACACACAACAACCAAACTCTCATTGAAATTTCATCTTAAGGAAAAACTATTTAATGGATTGGGGTCTATCAACTTGCAAACTTCAACAACATCACTAAAAGACCTAGAAAAGTGATAAAGACCAAATGGGAGGAAGAAGGGACAATTGAAAAAATGATGATATGCTTTGGACAACAATTCAGTAGAGAGAGGTTTTTTCTGTACTATTGTCTAACCAGTATTTCAAAAGGCACGTGAGGCTCATGGCATATGGCATGAGGCAAGGCTAAGGAAAGCGCCTCAGGCTCAGCCTTACCCCTGAGGCACATACCTAAAAGCATAAAAAGATATACCCATACATTGATATGCCTTCTGTCAAGAACAAGGGTGTTATACCCTAAATGAAGACTATGAAGTATGATTGTCATTATAAGACCAATTCTAAGTTTTCGGTGTGTGTGTGTGTGTGTGTGTGTGTGTAAGTTACCAATTTAGTTACTTGAGATCAGTTTGAGAAGAGCACAAATACAAATATGTTGAGTGCAAAACAACCTTGTGTATGGTATTTCTAAGCCTTGTATTTGCACTGTACATATTTATATTTACACTCTTCCAAAACTGAGCCTCAAGGTTTTTACATTAAGGTTTTGTTTTACATTAAGATATTTGCAATAGTCTTGAAGGATTTTGAAGATTCAAATAATTTTTTAAGCTCCCATTACTTTATAGTCCTTGTTTATATGATGTTATATTTATATATTTTTTATCTATGCATTCTTCTTATATAAAACAATAGTATATGTATCAATAGTTATTTTGTTCACTTCAGGTTCTTTAATCAAAGAAAAAAAGATCTAATGAAGCTTCACCTCACACATTGGGAGATCTTAGTACCATGTCTCATGCCTCTGCCTTCCAAAACATTCTACCCCCCCCCCGAAAGAGATATGTCCTTTTTTCCAAACAGCCAGCCTCTTAAAAAAACTTTCTAAAATTGGATTCCATAAACTATGATCCTTAGAGTTGGCTCCTAGAGGAGCCATAAAGACTGAGCATCCTACAATTTTTGCATAGGCGTTTAGCTCTCCTTCCTCCAAATCAATCCTCAATTGGATGTTGGGGTATTTTCCTTTACCACATAGTAATATTGATAGAGTTGCTAATTTAAAAACAAAAAAAAATAAAAAAATAAAAAACAGTCATGTTATTATTTCCATTTTGAATCACAACCACTGCATGCCCACAGTAGGCCTGTGCCAACTAATGAGCATCACTAGAGGAACACTACAGGACATCGATCTTCTAAATTTCATCCACCAGATTGATCCAGCCTATCCTGCTTTTGTGAAGTTCACAGTACACCTAATGTCAGCTCAACCATTTGAGATTATATTGCCTTTAAGATCAAGAATCAGTTCCTTATTCACTATAGATAAAAGAAAAAGATACTATGGTATCTATATATATAATATAAGGAGGAATAGAAAGAGGAAAGCAGGGAGGTGAGGGGTCCTCTCACCACAGTTCACACAGACCTGTGAGGAGGAAACCCAAACTCCTAATACTCTCTTGGCGTAAATTCCAATAAAAAAAGGCTTTTAATGTTTGGTAAAGTAGACAGAATGGATGGTCCACGTAAATTGAATGATTAATTTACAGTACAGTATACAGGACAGTCTAATGATACACTTGCTTAACAAGGGGTGGGAAGAAATAATATATTTTGGGCTGTGTTGTAATGCTTTTGTTGGGGAGGGCTAAGAGTGTTTATCCCTCCCCTTTCTTCTTGTACTAAAATTCCTCTTTTTTAATGAAATTGATTCTGTTATTGAGCAAAAAAAGTATAATGTTTTTTCTTATAATAATTATTAATTACGATACTAAATAGTAAGCATTAAATTAATAATTTCTATTTTATTTTTCCCATTGATTTTACTTCCTGTTGTGACATAATGACTCCATGCAAAACATTATATAAATGATTTGACTTTTGACCCAAAAATGATTTGGGCACACCACAAATTTGATATGGGCACACCACAAATTTGATATGAGCACACCACAGGTGATATAATTTGATAAGGCCACACCACATTTTGCATCCCATTATGTGCATGGRGTATTGATGAAACATGAAGACTATTATTTGGGGTAGTGCTGCAAACAGATGATAGGTAGAGACAATATTGATTCATTGATATTTGAAATTGAATAGGATCTTAACTATCAAATATATTCAACTAGAATTTGGTTTGCAATTGGATATTGAATAGTATAAAGAAGTTAAATTTAAAATGATTAAAATATTATATCTTATAAATAAAATGAATCAAAAATGGCTTTAATATTGTATTTCATGAGTAAAATGAATTGAAAATTACTTGTATGAAACTTAAATACAACATTCAAATCAACTTTACAAATATATAAAATATAAGCTTTTAGTAAATATGAACATATATATTTAACAGAGTCCAATCAGATTGTATCAAATTGGATAGGCATGAAACCATATCTGGTCTATTTATAAATAGATTGAATATGGGCATATAACTTTAATCAACTAAACATAAAAATATTAATCGTGTTTTAACTAAAAACAAGGCAGTGTGGACAACCTTGTTTTACTATATAGATATGTATTAATCCACAACTTTTTCAGCCATTAGGCTCATAATCTCATTAATAACTTTAATCACTAAAAATAAAATATTTTTTGAAAACAAAAAGTGAAGAAATTATGCCAAACCAAACCCAAACCAAATATGATTGAATTGGATTAAGGTTAAAGTTAGGGCCAGGGTTTAAATACCACCCGAATTGGRGTTAGGATTGACCATGACCTGATGTTAGGGAACTTGGACAGGCCCAACCTAAGCCCAAACCAATCCAACCTGAAATTTTACAATTTTACATGGGGCTGGGCTTAGATTTTTTGTCCTGAGCTGGGCCTAGGCCTAGCCCTTGGGTAATCCAAACCTAGCCTGAACCTAACAATCCTAGCCCAACCCAACCATAGTCCAGATCAAACCAACTCGACCGCATGCACACACGTATGCAGTTGTCCAGCTCAACAGTCCCTCTCTTTACCCTCTTTAACCCTCTAAATTTTGTGATTTATTTGATTTTTCATTATTTATTGCTTTCAAAAATTAATGTTCCACCTCAGTTACATGACAAGTGTCTCTTGGATATCATCTTTCTTATCCAAGAATGTGCCGAAAAACTCTATTGGCCTCTTCTGCAATAAATACCTTACACCAGACAACACAAGTGTCAGAGTTGTTGGTGGGTCCACCTCCATCTTTGATGAGGACTCAAACTCCAGGATCCAGGCTCTGACCACCAATAGAGAACTACAGTGCAATTGATCTCAGTAAAGAAAGAACCATGAAAAGAAGAACCTCGGTCATTTAGTGACAATCAGCTTATTGAGAAGGAAGAGGGAGGAAATTCAGAAACTTATTTGCTCAATAAGGATGATGTCTCTCATGAAGTTCATTAGTAAAGACATCTGGGCTTCAAATTCAAAATCAGAATATATTAGTTTAAGTGATGCATTTTTCTTAAGAATCAAACAATTGATTCCAATAATGATATTTTTAATTGGAGACTGAGTTTTGAGGAAAATTAAACATGGGAAATAAGTAGTTATTGTTGTTGTTGTTTTAAATTTATGGAGAGGAGGAAAATAAATGCCATCTGGTGAAGTGGAAGTCAGTCTGCCAACCCAAAAATCAAGGAGGTATGGGCATTAGAAAATTAAAGGAAGTCAACACTGCTATGCTAGGAAAATAGCTCTGGAGGTTTAATGATCCTCCGAACAGTTTGTGGAGGCTAATCGTAGCCAAGTATGGGCCGGCAGTGAGAGATTGGGAGACTGGTAACTCTAGATCCTCATATGGTTGCTCAATCTGAAAGGCAGTTCAAAAAAAATTGAACCACAGTTCTTACAAGGAATAAAGTACGAGGTTGGGAATGGTCTAAGAGTTCTATTCTGGAAGGATTTTTGGTGCGAAGATGGCCCTCTCAAGGACAGATATTCTGATCTGTTTGAGATAACATTGGACAAGAATGCAACAGTGGCAGATTATTTGGAAATGCAGAATGGGGTCTGTGTGTGGAATCCTCAATTGCGTAGAAACCTGAATGATTGGGAGGTAACTCTCTCCTAAGTTTTCTGCAGACTTTATACAATGTCAGATTGAATGGAGATTTGGAGGACAAAAGAAAATGGAGATTTGAAAACTCAGGAATTTTCTCTGTCAAATCTTTCTATAACAGCCTGACAAGGGAGGAGTCTTCTGTTTTCCCGGACAAGAAGATTTGGATAAGGAATGTCCCTTCAAAAGTGTCTTTTTTTTGTGTGGCCAGTGGTGTTAGACAGAATTCAGACTAGAGAAAACCTAGTTAGAAGGGGCATTCAAGTGCAGGATGAAAGGTGTGTCTTGTGCAATAAAAGCACAGAAACCTCCAATCACCTGCTGATCCACTGTGAGCTCACCCACTGGATTTGGGGGAAAATTCTGGAATTGCTCAGGGTTAAGGTGTGTTTTCCTTGTGATGTGAAGAGTTTTTTGCTTGCTTGGTGGCTAAAGGGTCTAAGTGAGGCTGGAAAAGTTGCTTGGAACACTGTTCCTGCAGCTGTGTTCTGGGCAGTTTGGCGTGAAAGGAATCAGAGAATCTTCGAAGGGCATCACATTTCAAAGGAGGAAGTTCTTTAAAATATTATGGGCATGCTGTATTCGTGATTGGCTAATCACTCACTTTTTAAATCTAGATACACAGTTTCTTTCTTTGACAAAGAGTTTATTTCACCAAAGTCTGTTATTAAGGTGATTGTCCAAGAAATTCAAAACCACATGGTCATTAACTTAACTGATGAACATTATATACTCTATCTCAATCATTATCCACACACAACAGCAAGAAATCTGATGGAAGATCACATTCTTTCCACAAGAAGCACCAGGGAGTTGATATATAACAGACTTAAATACCTTCCTTATTATATATTGTAGAGGCTTCTCATACCCATATAAAGTCCTCATCAATCATACAGACTACCTCCATAGCCTGAATGAATACCCATTTAATGCCAACTGGATGAAGTTGATCAAATCATATGAAATCAACTAAAAACACCATGTTTTTTTATTAGTGTAATGTTCCTCCAAATATCCCGAGTTCATATATGAATCAAAGTAGGCCAACTTGCAGCCATCAAGAGCCAGTAGGAAGTAATCAATAGCCTTTTTCTTTTCTTTTCTTTTTTTTTTTTTTGTTTGTTGGGGGTATTTGGTTTTAATGCCTTCACAAATTAATTTTGATCATGGAAGAAATTCCAAAGCTTTGCAAAATTATTGGAAGTGAGGAATACGTGCACAAGTTCAACACCTGAAGTCCACTTATGTGGATATCACACATAGTTTATGACTTTACAAAATAAAAGATTTTGCTAGGAGAAAATCAAGAAAAGGAAAGAAATGAACCACCCAAACTTTGAACTTCATTTTGAGGTCCAGAAGCGTGTTCTCATTTAGTATACGCCTAGGACTGGAAATGATCATCTAGAGTTATGATTAATAAACTAAAACTTAGAAAAGAAAATGTTTTTATTTACTTTGAAAGAGAAAAGTTCATTTATCTGGGATAAATAAATAGAAAGAAAGAGAAAAAAAAACAATTCATAAGCTTGACCAATTGAGAAAATAAGGAAATAAGAAAAACTAGATCTTACCATCCGTGGAACACTTCGACAAAAGCACATCGATGCCTTTGCTCGTATTCGAGGATTCTTGTGCTTAAGATATGGCTGCAACTTTGGTAACAACAGAGAAGGAGAAACACATGTGGTCATTGCTATCAAAGYTCTTTCAGCAGCCTCGCAGACAAAGCGTTTATCTTGTGAAGATTTTAGAAGAAGTTGTACAAGCTGGACCCAGACGACACAAATAGAGCAACAATAAGGAAACCAAACAAATGAAAGAACGAATGAGGATGGGCATCATATGCTCATCATAAAACAAGACAATGAATTGATCCATTATGAATTAAAGATGAAAACTTACTAGAGGTTCAACCAAATCAATTATTTGATCACAGTATGCATTGAAGATATCCTCGGCTGTCATGATTGCAGTTTTACAAACAGCACTTCTTGGATTTTTCAAGGATTTTACAACAAGTGAGATCACACTCTCCCTGATCATATAAGGACAAAGAATGAGAACTCTAAAATCGAGAATGAAAAAAGCTACCTAACTTGAACCACCAAAAGAAAGAGGGAAAAGGAACACTGGCCCCCACTCTCTTTGTTATGTGTCTACAGAAGGGTGTTCTGTGAATTAGTAAAATGACAGCAGAGTGTTTCAGTAATTGTGCAACCCTTTGAAATTTATAAAGTCTTCACCTGGACAAATGTCAAGAAGGGGGAGGTAAAGGGTTTTATCTGCTGATGCACCTAAGCTAGCATACCTTATAGTAAACAGCAATATCTAATGATTTAAAGAATATATTATTGAAAATGTTCTCTCAATCAAATTAAATTACTGGGTAAGAACCGAAAACCTACAAAATTTCAAGCATTGCTTCCTTGTGAAATATTGACAATCGGCGAACATTATTGAGAGCTTCACATGCCAAAACCCAATCCTTGGAGCCCAATCCTACTAAAAGTGTCTAAGAAACAAGAGAAACACATTAGATTAATTCTTAGGTAGCAGGACAGCAGAAAGAAACTCTCAGCAGCAGCATCAAACATTTCAAGATTTTTGGGCCAAGCAACAAGGCATCAAAAGGGAAGCAGAGTAACCCATACCTTGAGACTTGCATCCACATCTTCTAGATCTGTGAGATTCTCAGATTCTATATACTCTATCTCTGAAGTTCCTACCTCTACTGCACCATTCACAGCTTCACCTTCATTTACCAGAGTTGTAGACAAAGAAGCAGGATTTTGCCTGTGCCAGTTGTCAAGATTTTCATTGGTGTTCTCAGCACAAAGCTTCGTAATCCCCTTACTAGAACTTTCATTTTTCCTCTCAGATCCTGGTAGCATATTGAGATCTTTCAGGGCTTGAGACATCCCTATTGGGCTCAGAAATATGAAAGCAAACACACAAAAGTAAGTAATTTAACATTCAACCATCATAGAAAAGTTTTTTAAGGAAAGCAGAAAGTAGACACTCAATGAATCTATGGATAAGTAAGGAAACAAGTAAACAGAGAAAAATAAACATGACCTACATAGATGGCAACAATTGAACTCTAAGTTATATATATATACACACACACATTATACAAGGCTCACAGATTTGTTTGCTGAGCACAAAAGAAATCACATTACACAAAAAATTGCACAAAAACTAATGAAAATATGGCTTAATATTTGAAAAATACCAGCTGCAATTATGTGCCCTTTCTGGATGGAATGAAATCAAAGGGTCTATGAGACAAGTCCATAGGAGGAAGAGATCTTGAAATTTGTGACGGAAAGTATTGGTTCATGGGCATCTGCGGAAATGGCTTCTTTGCATGTTTCTCTTTAAGCTTTCTTGGGTGGGAAAGTCTATTTTTAAGTGTAATTAGGGCTCCTTGTTTTAATCTTTTTCATTCTATTCTGATTTTTCTATTGGATTGGCTGGTTCTTCAATGTAAAGTCCTTTACTGTATTGATGGGAATGCCTATCTATCTGGATGTCTCATGTAATCTTTCTCTTATTTAAGTAAATTTACCATACTTTCTTCGAAAAAATAAACCAGTAAGGACAAGAAAGGTACACGCAGGCCCAAAAGAAGGGAAGACAAATTCAAAGACATAAACCAAATAGCAGCTAAAGGCAAACAAAAGCCCCTAAACCCCCTCCCCCCCCCCAAACATTACTCAAGAAATTAGCATCACTATACCAAGTTTAACAAGGCTCTCCTCTCCTTAGCAGAAAGATCCACAAGAGAGTTGGCCAATCTTGGAATCCACCTGAACAAGATGTTTATTTTAGATGCCGAAGACCTAAGATCCTTTATGAGATGCTAAAGGGGTCAAAAATCATACACAAATCCACTGCAAATATCAACCTCAAACCATGAACACAAGCTAAAAACTAAAGTCTAGTTGAATTCCCATAATGGGTTATAGCTCAGGTCAAAGCCAATTGGTCTTTACAGCTGTTGTGTAACCAAACTGAAATAAAGATAGGTTGGTTGACTTACTTCAAATATTAGATCAAATAAAAATACAACCAAACCAGGATGATAGAAGGGTACTGGACTCTGACCAATGGCTCGTTCACTCTCAAGCCTATCCATAGCTGTCAAGGCATCGACCTCCCTCCCTCTCTTGTTTCTATCAGGGCATCCTGGCTGTCACCAACACTATAAGGCATTGGACTCCACATTAGTGTTAATTACAATCATTGGCATATCATGTTTGTCCTAATATCAAAACCTTATGTGACCATAGTCATACATATGAAGGTATTAACTAGAAAAGTGCACTTTTTCACTGTAAAGGGGCCACTACTTGGTGTAATGGTAAAATCACGGGCTGTGTTCAAGTCTGAGAGCAACCGCTTTTTGCAAAAAAAAAAAATGCTAGGTTAGGTCTGTATCCAGTCTACCCTTCCCAAGACCCCAGATGGCATACAAAAAATTAACCAGATGACCCCAGATTACGAGAAATTAAAAACCAGATTATAGTACTCATATACATACAAAAAATGAACCAAATTACAAGAAATTAAAAAAAAAAAAACAAGCAAACAAACAATATTGTATTGCAAATTGAGTAGCATCTTTAGATCTACAAACTAATATTTCTGATAAGTTAGGATGGAGAAGCCCAATAATCGACAAAGTTATAAATTTGGTAACACAGTTAACGTTTTGGGGTATTAAGTCCTTAGTATTAGCTAACCATGCAGCTTTGCCAATGTAAGCTTGTCTTACACTGCCAATCCAAAGCTTGGATAAAGGAGGAAGATTGTCTTCAATTGGCGGCTAGCACTAAAACTTCTGCAAAATTCTTATGTATGGTTGTAAATTGATTGAATTAGTCCAATTCAAATTCAAATCCTATTTGTAAGTCAGTTTTGGATATCCATTTGGCCATATTCAGATCTAATTAGATTTGAACATATAATCCTTTTAATAATCAAATCAAATTTGGATACTACTATTTGATTCAACCCATTATGATCAATCCAATGCTCTTAGATAAAATATCGTTTTTTAGTATTAAAATTCTCTAGAATTAGAATTACATTGGATTTGGGGCTTAGATAAAGTGTTTTTTCCATTTATGGTATAGATTTTGTGTTTATATTTATTTTATATAATTTACTTACATTTCAATCAAATTGAACTCAATTCAAATCAGATATTCGGAAATATAAACAAATCATATTCAAATCTATGTTGTGCATATCCGTCAAATAAGGTCATTACCCAATGTTGGTCCTAGCTATCTGGGGACTTGGGAGTGGTGGATACGGTCCTAACCTTTAACATACTTTTCTACACAAACTTGCCGCTCTCATACTTGAAGTCTTGAACCTGTGTTCTCACACTTGAGTCACTGGACAGCCCGAGATGTACATATCCAACAGATATTGAATCAAATTCAGATCTTGGGTTCTTATTAGATTGGATTCAAATATACCCTTGTCTTGTTGTCCAAATTCAGTCGAATCTACTTGCAGACCTACTCTTATAAACATAGATCTTAAATCATCATTCTGTGCCCACGCGAGGGCATTCCCCAAAAGTGATGTGCTACACCTTAACCCAAGTGTGTTGAGAAATGACAATAGTTGCCCATCATTTAACAATGGATATGACATTAAACAACAAAGAATGGCATGACAAGATTCATCTAGCTAACCCCATACAGATTGGACAAGGCTTAGATGATGATGAACATTAGCCACCCATGCAATATTGTTGTTGCCTTGTTGGTACTTGGTAACATTTTTTAGTCTATTAACCACAATATATATATATATATATATTATATATAGGTTAGAACAAATTATCACTTCATTAAATTATTAGATGCATCATGCATCGGTTATCAGTAAAAAGATTAACATATTCCAAAAGACGGGTTTATATGCACCAGCCAAACAAAGCAAAGCAATGCCTAGCGGAACACATCCATGATTCATATTCATGTCATCGATCCCTTGTAGCAATGCCAAATCTGAAACTTAAATTTGCAGCAGAACTACAACGAGATGCGGATGACCACAATACAACAAGAACGATATCAACAGGGTAGTTAATCACACAATTTGTGTAAGAGAATTTGAGACAGCCATATATGATATAGCCCAACTAATCAACATAAACAAGTAGCCCTATGTGCCTTTAGTAACGAAAAAAATGATAAAACAAACGCACTAAAACCACCAAAAGACAAAACAAACTCGATAATGCAGAAAACAACAGAGATCTACATGATGAAAAAACTGTAGCCAAACAAGCGTCGGCATTCCCAAATAAAAACAAAAGGCAAAATATAACGTGGCAAATCTAAAACTGAAAGAGAAACAAGATCACGTCGTTTACTTATCCAACAGATCTAATTCTTCCAAAGCAGTTTCAACACAAATTCTACCATTTCCTCAACAGATTTAATATCCAAGTAGTGAGAAATATAAGCTCAATTAGGGCAAACTAAAAACCATCAACAGGTAATTCGAGAAAGGTATAATACGGATATAGAGAAAGAGATATAAACGAGTTACCGGAACAGATGAAGCGAGGCGTCGGAGAACCGGAGATGTGGATGCAAATATTTTCAGAGAATCAAAGAGGGATCATCACTTAAGTAGCATCACTGAATCTGAGCAGACTTCAGGGAATTAGGGAATTTAATATGGAGAGAGAGAGAGAGAGTGTGTGTGTGTGTGCGCCTGCGTCTGTATCTATCTCTTGTGTGATTGTTAATAATTTTACTTTGTAACCGGCGAAGCGCGCAGTTGTGCTCGACGTATCTTTTGATTGCCAGACCTTAGCCGGCTGGCACGGAAATTCGCATGTGACCGCCGAGCACAGTAATAAATTTTTTCGTGTTTATTTCTTTTTTTAGGGCAATTTGGTGAAACCTGCCTGAAGTTTTTGATCGGTGTTGAAATCTCTCCTAAAATGTGATAATTGCAATCACCCCTCACTTACAAAAGGCGCGAAAATGTCTAAAATACCGAAGCTGATTTTATAAAAAATAAAAACACAATATAAAGTTACGAACTTCATGAACAATAACAAAAATAGAGTTTAAAGTTGTTAATGATTGATACGAAAGACAAATTTAAAAAATAAAGCGATTGATATAAAGATAAATTTGAAATTTTAAAAAACAAACATATTGATCAAACTTCAAAAGTGATTTCAGCAATGGTAATTGGTGGAAGGTTTCAGTAATTTACCCTTCCAATCAATTAACATATTCGGATTATTTCTTTTGTCCGATTATTTGGCATTGGGGGATTTCTCTGTCTCCATGGCCCTAGATTCTGGCAATCAGTAACTATATTCCAATAGTCCAGTCAATACGGTGCAGTCAACCCTCGCGAAAGCAGATCTAGTAGGACAGTTGAACCGAAATGGAATATGTTGGATTGTTGGTTAAAGAGCATTTGGTGAAAAACGAGTTCACATCTGCGCCTCACAACGTCCTACAGCACATTTTCACCGTGTATTGGAAATATCTCCCAAAGTAGATGGTATCATTTGGGAGATGTTCTCAATATACAGTGAGAATGTGATGTGGGGCGCCCCCTTGTGAGATGCAGATCTGAACTCGATAAAAATAATTGATGGGGGCATGGGTTTCTGTGGGTATTAATAATTTAATAATATGGGGTTTTTAATTACCAAAAGATAAATAATATGGTGCCAGTCTTGGTAGTTAAATCAGTAGGTCACCAACTGGCCATGAGTGGCCTGCTGAAGAGTTATGGGATCCACTGTTACATCTTTGTCTGAGGAGTACTTGCCCAACAAACGTTAAAATCCAATATGGGCTGAGCTGGGTTGGGGCCTCACGCCTGTACACGGAGCCATTCTAATAAAGACATACTCGAATTCGAATTCCATACGATATTCGATGGGGAAAACTCTATGATGCCGGAAATATATGATATCGGAAAGAGTTTGGCCCTTCACAACCCCTGATGGATGAGATTAGGAATGGCAGTGGGGTGGGTTTGGAGGATTATATTTTTCGTCCCTGATTTCGATTTTGAAATTAATCCTATCCCTATTAGGGGTGTAAACGGATCGAATTCGAATTGGATCAGGTAATATCCGAATTCGAATATGATTATAAAATCCGATATCCGAATTTGGTTCAATATCCGATAGATATTGAAAATTAATATCCGAATTCGAATCCGATTAAATGCTTTTAGTAAATATGTACATACATTGCACATGAAATTTTTAAATTATTATTATTATTATTATTAAATTTTGTTTTTCATTGCTATCACAAATAAAAATATTTTTTATTTTAACAAGTGTTTTTATTTAATATGATGGATATATAATATTAGAAATGTTCCAAAATGTTTTATTTCAATTATGATATCATGAGTTTCATTGAAAAGTTGGATTGTTGACCCACCATCTAGATAAGAAAATAGATTAATTTGCATTGGGATTAGTTTTAAATTATATATTTCATCTACATTATATAAATAATTTTTATCTATTACACTTAATTTTTGCTTGACATAATTATATTTTTTTGTATCATATRTTTTATTTATTTTAATTTTTTATTATTTAATTATGATGTTATTTATTAACCAATTTGACCCTAAATGGTTAAATTGCTTACCCACCACCAAGAGGGAAGAAAATGGTTTATTTTCAAACTACTTTTCAAAATATTTATATTTATACTATTAAAATTAACTTTGTGGATTTAATTAATAGAATTTAATGATGAGAAAAGTATATCTTAAATATAGGATTTAATGAGAGAATGCACATTAGATATGGGATTTAATGAGAGATTAGGAAAATAGTTTTATTTCCAATTGGTCTTGAATTTTATATTCCATTTTCATCATTAATAAAAATATTTCTTATTTATCATACTTATTATTATTTAATATATATATATATGATGTTATAACTATTCCCTTTTTTTTAATTTCTACATATTTTGCACTTTATCTATTCTTTTATTTTATTATTTAATTGTGGCAACATGGATTGGCCCATTTGACCCAAAATGGTTTAATTTTTTACCACCACCTAGATGAAAACACTATTTTTTTCTAGGTAGATTTTAAAGTATAAGTTTTTATTTATTGTAATTATTAATTTATTATGTATGGATTTGATTAATATAATTTAATGATGAAAAGAAACAAAAATGACTTAAATACATGATTCAATGAAGATGAATGCAAGTTAATATCTTAAATGTTGAGATTTAATGAGAGAGAATTGAATGCATCAATTATCTTAAATTTACCTATTTTCAACTCATTTAGTATCAATAACCGATTACCTTATAAATATTTATTATTTATCATACTCATTATTGTTTAATATGCCGAATATATGATGTTAAAAATGTTCCCTTTTTTAATTTCTATATATTTTTTTGCATTTTATCTATTTTTGAATTTTATTATTTAATTGTGGCAACATGGATTTGCCCATTTGACCCAAAATGGTTTAATTTTTTACCACAACCTAGATGAAAACACTATTTTTGTAGGTAGATTTTAAAAGTATATGTTTTTATGTTATTGGAATTATTAATTTATTATGTATGGAGCTAATTAAAAGAATTTAATGATGATAAGAAACAAAAATGCCTTAAATATATGATTCAATGAAGATGAATGCAAGTTAATTCCTTAAATATTGAGATTTAATGAGAGAGAATTAAATGCATTGATTATCTTAAAATTACCTATTTTTCAACTCATTTAATATCAATAACTGATTACCCTATTTGCTCTCATTTTTTATCAATAAATTTAAATATAGAGGGATAAATTTTGTCCTTAGAAAATTCCAGGAATATTTTTGAGACCATTTGTGCTTTTTAAAGTAGTATAGATATATATAGTAATATATATTATATATTATATTTTTACTTTTTACTTTTTTAAATCGAAATAAACCCACCTTCATTTGACTTTTTGAGTTTCCCCCCTTTCCCCTTCTTTGATACCTAAAGGTCAATACCAAAACTAAAACCTTTGCTTTCCTCTTGTTCATCTTCCTCCCTAGTTCCCCTTGCTTTCATCCGGCGTCGGTTGTCATCTTCCGTCATTTGACGTTGGTGTTGGTTGACATACGTCCTCAAACGGCCTCTTCCCCTCCCTTCTCTATTACAGCCACGCTAGAAGGCCCATAATTGAGAATTGTTTCTCCCTCTCTCTCTCTCTCTCTGTCTCATGTCATCTCCTTTGCCACTTTGCGCCAACCGCCAAGCGGCAATGCCGGTCGCCGGTAAACACTAAGCCACCAAAGCCATGCGCCAACTATTCCCTCTTCGGCGACACCTATCATCTCCGCCACCTCTCACTTCAAGTTCAAGCAACAACAACCAATCTGACACCAACAAATCAACCACCACTTCAATGCTCATTGTACAAGTTCGACTTCATGCCTTTAGTTTGTTTAAGTTCCGACACCAATAAATCGACCACCACTTAAGTGTTCATTGTACAAGTTCGACTTCATGCCTTTAGCTTGTTTAAGTTTTTTTTTTTGCATAAATATTATTTATAGTTTTTTTTCGTAAATATACAGGCCATTAGACTTCAGCTTGTATTTTCATTTTAGCTTGTTCATTTATGGTGTATTTTTTCTTTTTCTTTTTGGATTGTTACTGAATGAGTGAATGAATGTTGATTAATAGTTTAGTTTGTTTTACTTAATGAATGTTGATTAATAGTTTAGTTTGTTTTACTTAATGAATGTTGATTAATAGTTTAGTTTGTTGTATTTTCATTTCAACTTGTTTTAGGTTTTTTTTTTCATAAATATTGGTGTGTTTGTTCATTTATAGTGTATTTTTTTCATTTGTTTTTGTATTGTTACTAAATGAATGTTGATTAATAGTTTAGTTTGTTGTATTTTCATTTCAGTTTGTTGTAGGTATTTTTTATCTTTATTTTGCATAAATAATAGCGTGTTTGTTCATTTATAGTGTTTTTTTGGATTTTTACTAAGTGAATGTTGATTAATCGTTTAGTTTGTTATATTTTCATTTCAGCTTGTTTTAGTTTTTTTTAGCACAAATATTAGTGTATTTGTTCATTTATAGTGTATTTTTTCTTTTTTTTTATTGCTACTAAATGAATGTTGATTAATAGTTGTTTGTTGTATTTTCATTTCAGCTTGTTTTAGTAAATTTTTTATCTTTTTTTTTCATAAATATTAGTGTGTTTGTTCATTTTTATCTCAAAGAACATGTCAAAAAACTAACCTAAGTATGTAGTTTACTCTATCAATTTTTATGTAATTTTGTAATTGGTATATCTATTTGATGAATGTGAAATTTTTCTAATTCTTTCATTCTCATTTATGTTGGTTCAATTCTCATTCTTAYCCAAGATGAAATTCTAAAACGRACAAGAATGAGTAAAAAATAGGCAAAATGATAAAATATTGCTATGAACCAAACACTTTTTTTCTATAAATGAATTATTTTTAGACTAACAAATGTCCTATGTTGCTCATTTTCATTCTTAAAAAAAAATCGTGCCGGTATTCACAAGCATCCAGCCTAGGTCTCCAACAATCAATGTTTACCAGTTGGCATATATGTACTTTCATAAAAATGCTTTTATAAAAGTGCTTTCATAAAATTACTTACATGAAAGTACTTTTATAAAAGTGCTTTCATAAAAGTACTTTTGTAAAAGTTCATTTATAAAAGTGTTCATAAAAGTTTTATAAAAATATTTTCTTAAAAGTACTTCCATAGAAGTGCTTTTGTACGATTAATTTTGTAAAAGTGCTTTCGTAAAAGTGATTTTATAAAACTACTTTCTAAAAGTGATTTAGTAAAGTGCTTTTGTAAAAGTACTTCCATAAAAGTGCTTTTATAAAAGTACTTTCAAAAAAGG